TCTTGAGCAATAAACTCGTTTCTTGTTCAAGAAACCCGTTTATTTCTCAAGAAACTCATTTTTTGTTTAAGAAACACGTTTTTTGTTCAAGAAACTCGTTTTTTGTTCAAGAAACCCGTTTATTTCTCAAGAAACCCGTTTATTTCTCAAGAAACTCGTTTTTTGTTCAAGAAACACGTTTTTTGTTCAAGAAACCCGTTAATTTCTCAAGAAATTAGTTTCTTGAGCAAATAAACTCGTTTCTTGTTCAAGAAACCCGTTTATTTCTCAAGAAACTCGTTTTTTGTTCAAGAAACACGTTTTTTGTTCAAGAAACCCGTTAATTTCTTAAGAAATTAGTTTCTTAAGCAATAAACTCGTTTCTTGTTCAAGAAACCCGTTTATTTCTCAAGAAACTCGTTTTTTGTTCAAGAAACACGTTTTTTGTTCAAGAAACTCGTTTTTTGTTCAAGAAACCCGTTTATTTCTTGAGAAACTCGTTTTTTGTTCAAGAAACATGTTTTTTGTTCAAGAAACTCGTTAATTTCTCAAGAAATTAGTTTCTTGAGCAATAAACTCGTTTCTTGTTCAAGAAACCCATTTATTTCTCAAGAAACTCGTTTTTTGTTCAAGAAACACGTTTTTTGTTCAAGAAACCCGTTAATTTCTCAACGAACTAGTTTCTTGAGCAAAAAAAGGGTTTCTCCTTCAAGAAACTCGTTTCTTGTTCAAGAAACCCGTTTATTTCTCAAGAAACCCGTTAATTTTTGAAGAAATTAGTTTCTTGAGCAATAAACTCGTTTCTTGTTCGAGAAACCCGTTTATTTCTCAAGAAACTCATTTTTTGTTCAAGAAACACGTTTTTTGTTCAAGAAACTCGTTTTCTGTTCAAGAAACCCGTTTATTTCTCAAGAAACCCGTTAAGTTTTCAAGAAATTAGTTTCTTGAGCAATAAACTCGTTTCTTGTTCAAGAAACCCGTTTATTTCTCAAGAAACTCGTTTTTTGTTCAAGAAACACGTTTTTTGTTCAAGAAACCCGTTAATTTCTCAACGAACTAGTTTCTTGAGCAAAAAAAGGGTTTCTCCTTCAAGAAACTCGTTTCTTGTTCAAGAAACTCGCTTTTTGTTCAAGAAACACGTTTTTTGTTCGATACTCGTTTTTTGTTCAAGAAACTCGTTTATTTCTCGAGAAACTCATTTTTTGTTCAAGAAACTCGTTTTTTGTTCAAGAAACCCGTTAATTTCTCAAGAAATTAGTTTCTTGAGCAATAAACTCGTTTCTTGTTCAAGAAACCCGTTTATTTCTCAAGAAACTCGTTTTTGTTTAAGAAACACGTTTTTTGTTCAAGAAACTCGTTTTTTGTTCAAGAAACCCGTTTATTTCTCAAGAAACCCGTTAAGTTTTCAAGAAATTAGTTTCTTGAGCAATAAACTCGTTTCTTATTCAAGAAACCCGTTTATTTCTCAAGAAACTCGTTTTTTGTTCAAGAAACACGTTTTTTGTTCAAGAAACTTGTTAATTCCTCAACGAACTAGTTTCTTGAGCAAAAAAAGGGTTTCTCCTTCAAGAAACTCGTTTCTTGTTCAAGAAACCCGTTTATTTCTCAAGAAACCCGTTAATTTTTGAAGAAATTAGTTTCTTGAGCAATAAACTCGTTTCTTGTTCAAGAAACCCGTTTATTTCTCAAGAAACTCGTTTTTGTTTAAGAAACACGTTTTTTGTT